ATTTTCATATTAATTTTTTTTTTTTTTTTTTTAAATCTTATCATACAGTTAAATTTTTTTTTTAAAAGTGGATGAAAGTATTAAACGAAAAAAAAAAATTATTCTTTTCTTGTTAAAACGTATTACAAATCTTAATGTTTGAAAAATGAATTCGATAATTCTATAATATCTACAAAAAAATATTTTTTTTTATTGGATACTCACAATTCTGATCTTAATCGAAATATTAAGTTGAATTGATGAGAATCCTCTAAACATATCTACAAAAAAAAACGAGTAATAATTCAAGAAAATTCGATTATAAGGAAATTTTCTAACAAAAATATCCTTTTTTTTTTATGCTTTTAAGTAATTTCCATTGATAGGACCGTTCATTTGATGATGGTTCATAGGAATGTCATGCCTTGGACGTTTAGGAGGACTTTGCATCATTTGATTTGTTTGAAGTGGTGGTGCAAGATGCATATTTCCCATATTTCCCATAATTCCCATTGTAGGTTTAGGTTGTGTACCAATCGGTTGAATAGAGGGTAATACTTGAGTGGTACGGTTCATTTGAGCCATTTGGTTAATTTTATGAACTTGAACTTGTGTTGGTTGATGTTGTTGCATGGCCGAAAGTGCGCGTTTCCGAGTCAATTTTGCAAAGTCTGTACATGTTTTTTAAATCAATATATTTGAATCATTTACACATTTACACTTACAATGAAAAAATGTTTATTATCTCTATTACTCACGTAAACCACAAGCGTTACAAAGAGTTCTTGCACCATCAGGACCTCGACGCCACTCTGGAGTCTCTGATATATTACATGAATGACATCTGCCAGGAGGCGCAGCACGTTTCTAAAGGAAAAGATCCTTGTCGATCACTCATTTGATTAAAATACAAAAAATATATATATATAATTTAAAAATTAACTTACGCTTCGTTTTCGATATTTAGTACGAGTTGCGGAAGGTCCAACTGTTGTTCTTTTGGTCCTGATTAAGTTTATTGTATCTTGGTCATTCTATAAATATATTATTTTATATAAAAAAAATTTAATTCATTTTTATGAAATAAAATAAATCAATATATTAAATATCATGAGAACTTTTTTTTACCGAAACAGTTTGTCCAATTTCACTTTTAACACAATTCAATACATTTAAAATTTCACACGTCCTGCTGATCATTTCAGTAACTTGTTGTTCAAGATTTACAATAGGAGTTCCTGTAGGACTGGAAATCCAGGGGCTAGGTATAAATGGACCACCACCAAACTTGTTCGCTTGATTACGATAATCACCATACTGTGTTGCAAATTGACTAATTATAGTACAATGGTCTGCAATCTATTAAAAATAAAATCATGAAATATTACTAATTATGATTATAACCTTTTATCTCATTTGTCTAAATTAGTCTAATTTGTCTCACCTTTTGCATATCAGATAACATTTTATCAGTATTCTGCGTGTTAATACTTGATTCTACGTTATCTTTAATAAAAGATTCATTATTCTGATAATCTGGAGGATAATTATTGGTGACAAATCGAACCGGTTTTGAATCCATATTTTGACCATATATTGGAGGCTTTTGAGATGATGTGTTATTAGTAACAGGCGATTGAGATTGTTTTGGAGAATGTGAAATTGTTTGAGGTCTTGTCCACACCGTAGAATTATGAGCAAGATGTGGAGATGATTGTGATAACAAATCACAATTATTCGAACATTCTAAATTACATTGTTGTGGTATAACTTGAGAATTTCTAATACCATTCGACATTGTAGGTTGTTTTGAAGTATTATTATTATAGATAAGAGGTTGTTGTTGTGAGTGTAAATGAATATTCGTCGTTGTTTGTGGTGGTGGTTGTGGTGGACATGGAGGATAAGCTTGGTGTTGTTTTATGGATGATGATGAATGTTGAATGTTTGTAATATTTTCAAAATGTTTAATAGAAGGCAATCGCATATCACGTTGTGAAGAATGCCCAACGTTATTTTGATGCGGATGATGGTCAGGAGAATTCAATTGCCCTGATATATGATTGTGAGGAGCAGGAAACAAGGGAGAGGCAGTTCTTGATAAATGTTGTTGCTGTTTATGTTCTTCGTGGCCCACACTATCATGTATGATTAAAGTATTATTATTATTATTATTAGATATCAATGGAGAGTTATGACCATTCACAGAATTTGAATTTTCTCCTTGAATTTCTGATAAATTATGCTGAGGGGTAGGACGTAATAATACTGATAATGGAGGGAGTACTCCTTTTGATTCAGATGTCGTCTTGTGAACTCTATAAAATTGAATTATTTTTATTAATAACAAATAAAAAAAAAAAAAAAA